TTTCCTCTTCTGTTTGGATTTCTTTTTAAACTTAGGAAATATGGCAACAGCAGCATATGTGGATCATTTTGCAGCAGAGTGCCTTGTTTCTATGTCCAATCGTGCTATAATCCACAGTCCCAAAGGGGAGCCTGATCCTCAACCTGATGCAGCAACACCTCCTTCATCAAACGGAGAAGATAAGCAGGAAGTCAGAGAAACCGGGAAAGACAATGGATCATCATTACTTGTGGTAGCTAGCATTTTAGCAGATTTGAACCAGCATGTCCCAAACTCACCTGCTCTAAGGATGGAAAAAGCAGAGACCTTTGATATCACAGAACAAATACACATTTCTATTGCTCCTAAGGAGTTTGGGGAAGAAAGTGTGTCTTCGGCTGGTAAGCGTGGAGGAGGAAGAGCAGCCACACCTACTAGCCTGGCTGCAGTAACTGAGCCAAGCCCCAGACAAAAGAACAAACGCACGAGAAGCTGGACTGACCCTGGATCACCCCAGAAAAAGCACAAATGCCACTATGTGGGGTGTGAAAAAGTTTATGGCAAATCTTCCCATCTTAAAGCTCATCTAAGGACCCACACAGGTTAGTTACAATCCAGCCAGAGATTTATTTGTTACAGCTTGGTAATTAAAATGAATGTGGAAAAACCAAACCCAAACAAACTTGTATTTGGCCACCATTATGGTTTCACCTCTCAGAACTCAAGCTCGGGAAAACCAAACAACAAAAAAATATCTCTGGGAATTAACCTTTACTGGGCATAGATTCAAAGCTCATGTTGCCCTTATTTTATTACTTAATGTCACAGGGAATGGCATGTGGGTCATCTGTGTGGATTGTACCAAGCTGTAATTTTTAGCTGCTAGCCTTCTTGTTCGGTGCATTTTCTACTTCCCTTTCCAGTGTTTCTTACCCTCCCCCATCTACTTTTTCCTACCCCATTCTCCTGTCACTATGTTTATACCAGCTTATTACTTCCCAGGCAAGCATCAATACTCTTGATCTTTTAAAATTAAATGTTCTAGAGGCACCTGAATGATTGTGTGTCTCTAGCAGACACTTACATGAAAGCTAGAGGAGGCAGAAAGGCAGTTGAGAGGCTGAATATGAGTCACAAGGAGACATTTATGCTAAGCGTAGAGAGAGGAGGCATAGGCAGTCTCAAAAAACTCTATTGACAGCTAGGTAAAACTGATTTAAAAACCAAAAAAACCAACATCTGAATGCAAAACACTTACTTGTTCTGATCAGTGTTTACTTCTTGGTGAAAACTTACCTGACCTCTATTTGTTGCTAATGTAATTTATGACACACACATTGAAGAAGTGGAAGTCTTGAAAGTTATGTGCGCTGGAAGTATTAGGAGGGCCATCTTGAAACAGGCTCCATGACTTGCCAGACCTCGTGCCTCCGTCTGGTGCTGGGGAACAGGAAGGCTTCCAGTCAGTCTGGGTGCACCAAAAATTGAGGAGACAGATCTGCGCTGAAAGCACGGATCACAACGCATATGGTGAGGCACCACACCGACTAGAACAGGCCCGTGCAAGCTGTTCCACTGAGTAATCTCAGACAACAAATCAGTTTACAAAGATCTATGGTCAGTTCACTTGTAAAGAGCATTAAGAGAAAGATTGTCAGAACTAAACATGACCTACTGACTCTTGAACAGTTTTAGCTCAGAGGTGGCAGCCGCACCCACCCCTGCCGTACCTCTTCAGTGTGCCTTCAGCTGTTCCTGCTGCCTTCCCGAGATAAAGCAAGAGCCCTTCTTCATCGAGGGCATGTTTTGCTCTCCGTGGGAGAGAAGAAAGCCCCATCGAGTTTGAGCATACGGATGGACAATTCCCTGTGTGCACAGCCAAAGGAACAGCATGTTCCTGGCACCTCAGGCAGCCTGTCCTGCTTTGCACTATGTAACTGCTCTTTGCCTCCTTAGGAGTTGTGCAGAAAAGGTGCTTGGCTTCTAGGGAATTGCCTCCATTTACTTTTCAGTTCATTTGCTTATTTCTGGCATTTGCCGTTGTCCTAAAAGTGAAAGATAAATGTAGCAGTATTTCTGGGCTCCCAAACCAACTAGAGACCAAGAAGGGGAACTCCTGCCCCTGATAAAGAGAGGAGGGCTGGGCATGCCCGCCCTGCGGCGAGAGGAGAGGGAGGGCAGGGCCGGCGGGGAGCCGGCGGCTCCGGGCTGCCGGCTGAGCGGAGTCATTCGGGGACGCTGGCTTGCTTCCAAGTTCTCTCTTTCTCTCTCTTTTTTTTTTTTTTTAAATTTAACTCTTCATTTCCTGTGGGGTTTTTTTTTTCCAGATCTGTAGGGCTAATTGGTTATTGCTGTAGCTAAAGGCACTGAGAGAAGTGAGCGCGTGTGTGTCCGAGAGCTACAAGAAAAGCAGGGAAGGGACTGGTTTTGCCCTGGGAGTGGCAGGACCCTCGAGGACTACAGCTTCTTTGTTTTCTTGTGTCTCCAGTGTCTGTGTGGGAAGCTTTAAACAAAGCTGCCAAGTTTCCCTCCTCACTGGCAACAGATCTGTTTCTGTTTGGACTGAGTTTAAAACAGGTTTAAATGCCTCTTGCAGAATGTTTACTAAGGTGTTTGGATTTTTTTCTTTCTTTAAAAAAAATTGTGACAGTCTTGAAGGAAGTTGATAGGACACTAGGAGTTAAGCTAATTGAACAAGCAATGACTTCCAGGACTGGCAAATGTTTGTTTTTACAAAACACATAGTGGGTTTTACTGATTCAGAACAAGGGGTTTGGGTCTTCTCTGTTTTCCAGTGGTCCTGAACCAGTTAAGTAACATGTACACGTCAGTCTGCACATCTGTCAAATGGGTAGGGTGATGGCTATCCACCTCACCAAACAGTGGTGAAAGTACTCCCAAGTACCCATGCAAGGTGCTTTAAACAGCTACCCCACTAACTCCCAAACTTGTTTACTAAGGAACAATCAAAACCTTCTGCTATGAAGTGGAATTTTTTCTGTGTGCTGTATGACCAGATGAGCTGGTATTTAGGGGTGAACTGAAGGCTAGGAACAGTACTGCAGGCTAGAAGATACTGATGATAGCACTAGAGATATTTGAATAGTGCAGTTTATGACCTGTTTTAGAACCTTGCTTGTCCTTGTTAGTTTCTGAGCACAGTAGCTAAGGGCTTTGCTCTTCATGCTTGGAGGAAGGATAGTCTAGATCCTTGAGCTTGTAGTGGGACAGAGATACAGAGCCTTCCAAGTACTGTTGGGTCAAATCCAGCACACATTGGTAGGGACTGAAAGCTGCTACTGTTTTCCAGCCATTTGGTGCCCCGTGTGAAATCCTTCCAATAGGTATAGCCAGATTTGAGCACTCAAATGTCCAAAGCAAAAGCCAAAGTGCAGAGGATGCTAATTATCCTATTTAAAGCAGAACAAGATGCAACAACTAAGGAAGCAGCATCTGCCTTTTGTCCTTGGGCCCTTGCTCCAAGTACAGTGTTTTAGAATGAAGTTCTCTGTTAGAACATAATGTGCTAGAGCAATACATAGTTTCTTGTGTTTGGTGCATTAGCAGTTAAGCTATCTCAGACTTCTGAATGCTTCATCTTTATTAAATTGCCAAACCCTTGAACCAGACAGAAAACATTAGTCACCAAAATCCTTGCCCTTCTCTCCACCAGCTTTCAAACCCTTCCCCTCCCCCTAGGTTCTTTTCATGTTTATGTTTTCCACCCTACTCTCTCACTGGATGTCCTGGAGTTCAACATGATCATCAGCCACAAAGCCCTTGAAGTTTTAATATTTACCAGAAGGTTATATTTAGTGTCAGTGGGTAGATGTCAAGTCCAAATTCTTTTCCACCGAGGTTCCTGTGGACTTAAGCAGCTGTGTTGTGATACACAGCAGCAGCAATTTGTTCCAGGCTATATTCATCCCATTGATACAAAAATTTCACTGGCATACCAGTTTAAAAAAAAAAAAAAAATCTTCTTTACTCCTGACAAAATTCTTAAACACAAAGGACTTTCAGAAAATCAGATAACTATTTACATGACAAGGTGATTCTTCCTCTAAACTGGTTTTCAGCATAAGCTAAGGATATGTGGGCACCAGTCTCAGTCAGTCTTACAATGATAAGAGTCTTGCAGTGAAGCAAACTTGGGGGCCAAGTGGCTTAACAGTGGGTCATTTCTGCTATTGCTAAACTAATTGCCTTCTGTATGTCTGTCAGGGCACAGGAAGAAAAGAGGGCTGTCTGAATTATATTACTCTTGCTCATAGATGTCAGGTTAGGACTCATTCAAGAGAAAGTGGTCAAGACCTTTGTTAGCCTCTAGCTGGTAGAACGAGCGTGGGCAGCTATGTATTCCACCTGCTTAACCTTGTAGTTATGGAAGATATGTTATTTAGTGTCCATTTTTCTTTCTAGTCTTTATTAGTGAAATATTAGCTGAATTGAAATAGGTGGAAAAGACTGACTCATTTCCATTCACATACATTAAATTTCTATAATCACATTTTTGAGGACAACACTAATGAACCCATATGAAAAAAAAGTTACTTTTTTAACTTATGTACCCTTTTTTCTCCTCAATTACTATTCCTTGTTTCCCTAAGCAAAATTTTTCTGATGGCTTTGTAACTGGGGCATGTGAAAATGGAGAAATTCATGTGGTATTTGAAAGCAATCTAAGAAATAATGCAATCTGACCTCACTGTGACAACAAACTAGAGTAGTATTTGGCCTGTGTTTAGGTTGGTAAAGAGGCCTTTATATAGAGTCTGGGTAATAAGTTTTAAACAGGAGGTTGGTTTTGACTTCCAGTTCTAGAATGTCTAATTTGCTCTGACTACATTAATTCAAAAACACAGCAGAAAAGCATAACTTCTTTGAAGTTCATTTGAATCAAGATGCTAGCTGCGTGTGAAGAAATTTATGTAATGAGAAGCAAGTTCACGTGTCAGTGAAATAAACTTTATCTTCCTGGCAGTTTTTCTTCCTAGCACCTGGCAGTTTCCCAAGACTTAACTGGTTAGGTAGAAAACGTGCACTAGACTTAGCTTTGGTTTCCTTTAGCTTGCCTGGAGGCACAAAGTGACTCTAGAAGGGGTACGTATGCGTGTGTGTGGCAAGCGGGCAGTGTTTGTGAAAACCCAAGCCTTTGCAGGAGATGATTTTAAGAGGAGAAACTTAAACTCCTCCTGTGCTACTCCAGAGAACAGAGCAAACCAGGACTGCAGATTGCTCTTGTGTAGAGGAAGATACAAGAGGGTACTACTCGTTCAGTCCACCCTCTGAGCTGCTAATTGGGCTGTGCTGGATGCCAGGACTGAGTGCAAAGGTGTGCTTCTGAACAGGATATCAAAGGAAATTGGAAAGGCCTTTCTCCCATGCTGATTTCCCACAAGTGAGAGTACAGATTAAGCGAATCTGTAGGTTGCTCAGCCATTTCAATTTTAGTGGGTTAATCCAGGCTAGATGTTTTTGACTTTTTATGTTAAAAGTTAGAAACATCTAGCTGGCTTTGCATGCCTAACTCGCTGTCATTACCATACAGCTCGATTATTGAAAAGCTCCAGGGTGCTTCTGTGCTGTTTTGTACCATAATGCTCT